ATGGCGAGGTCCGGGTTGGATCTGTTTGGGATCCCATTGTGCTGGCCCCGCCCAGCAGCCCTCGAAAGTGGCGACGCACTGCGCAAACCCCCCCAGCAAGCCTCGAACGTGGCGACAATTTCACACTGGGCAGCCCCCCAGGGATGGCGAGGCCCCTTTTTGGGTTTGCGTGGGACCCCACCGTGCTGGCTCCTCAACAGCTTTCATACGTGGCGCAATTTCACGCTTCGCACCCACCCAGGGATGGCGAGGTTCTGTTTGGGTCTGCGTGGGGCCCCACTGCGCTGGCACCCCCAGCAGCCCTCGAACGTGGCGACAATGTCACACTGCGCAACCCCTTAGGGATGGCGAGGTCCCGTTTGGGTCTGCGCGGGGACACACTGCGCCCCCCCCCCAGCAAACCTCGAACGTGGCGACAGTTTCACACTGGGCAGCCCCCCAAGGATGGCGAGGCCCCTTTGTTGGTTTGCGTGGGACCCCACCGTGCTGGCTCCTCAGCAGCTCTTGAAAACGGCAGCCGTTCCCCACTTCGCAGCCACCCGTTTGGGTTTGCGTGGGGCCGTGTTGGGTGCTGCGCTCAGCTCGATGGTAATGACGGTGTGAAACGCGATATTTGCGCGGGGCCGCTGAATTTGCCATGCGCATGCCGCGCCGTCATCACAATTTGACCATGCGCGGCATGCGCATGCACCACGAGACTGTCATGCCCACTAAAGCACGGCACCCTACTGCGCTGGCCCCCCGAGCAACCCTCGAAACTGGCGACAATTTCACGCTCCGCAACCACTCAGGGATGGCGAGGTTCCGTTTGGGTCTGCGTGGGGCCCCACTGTGCTGGCCCCGCCCAGCAAATTTTGAATGTGGCGACAATTTCACGCTTTGCAGCCCCTAAGGGATGGCGAGGTTCCGTTTTGGGTCTGCGTGGGATCCCACTGCGCTGGCCCCCCCAGCAACCCTCGAACGTGGCGACAGTTTCACACTCCGAATCCCCCCAGGGATGGCGAGGCCCCTTTTTGGGTCTGCGTGGGACCCCGCTGTGCTGGCCCCTCCAGCAGTCAGGCGAGAGGGGGACAGAGCTGGCTCCCCCAACAGGCAGGCGCAGACAGGCGCAGGCAGGCGAGATGGGGAGGGCGGAAGGAGAAGGAGCAGAAGAGAGTTTGCACCCCACTGCTCATTCGAAACGAAAACTCAACCAAAGGAGGGTAGGGACACATGGCAACAACTTCAACGATGTAGGCCGGTTCGTTCTTAATATGTGGCTTTCTTTGTAACGCCGCTCGCATTCGTCTTAAAAACTCGTGGCGGCTTCAGGGATACAGGCAGGTCCGTTTTCAAAATGCGGTTCTCGCCTCTCGCCTCCGTGCGCATCCATGCGACGCGACCCCCCCACCATCCTATGCGACAGCTAATACTATGTGCACATCTATCTGACCCACCCTTTACCAGCTTATGCAACACATGGAAACCAACTCGCATCCATGCGACCCACACCCTCGCCACATGATGTAACAGTCCGCAAGTCGGCGCACATCTAGACGAGCCAATCCGTACCACTCTACGCAACATGTTATATTCGGCGCGCGTCCATCCGACGCAGTCCCCACCATCCGATGCAACATGAATTATTCGGTATGCGCCCATACGGCCCAACCTGAAACATCCAGCGTGAAACGTACTGTTCGGTGCACATCCACCCCGCCCAGCTCCTACCATCCAGCGCAACAACAGACAAGTCGGTGCACATCCACCCGAGCCGACCCTCACCATCCTATTGAGAAACAGTGTTCTGTGCGCGTGTGCAAAAACAACACTTCGGTGATAAAACATACAGAAAACTAAGCATCTATACCACATACAGAATACATCGATGCGTTTCGGGCATCTTTCGCCGACTCCGAAGAAAGGACACACGCGCTCACCCAGGGCGCCCCCGGCGTTCCACAATGGCTCTCAGGCTCGACGTCGCCACCAGCAACAGCATCCACATCCTCATCTTCATCGTCCTCGTCGCCGCAGGAGGCCTCAAAAAGCAAATGGATTCACACCGCGTTGACGCGTGGATCACAAACGGTTTTTGCAGTGGGGCTATCGCTGTAATGGCGCCGCGCACCATCGCTTTACACAGCCAAAAAACAGATAGAGGGAGGGTCATTTCAGAAAAGGGCTTTCGCTCTGGCCACGTGCATACTGGGCTTCCGAGTTGTCCTGAGCTGCGCGAGTGGATGGCGAGCCCTTTCCAAGACGGTGGGGGCATTGGATAAAGAACCCTTAGACACGGAACCCAGGGTCTGGAAGCCGGTGGAACTTGACTCGTGGGTCTGCCATGGCTATCACCGCCGCCGTCCTCGGAGAAAGAACCCTCCATGGCCTGCAGCATCCTTGGCACATTCCTCAATGAACGTCCGCGCCCCATTGGGGTCACCCCTTGGCCTCGCGCGCATTCGAATACAAAGTCCACCATTTACACTCACGTGGGCCTTCCTCGACCTCTACGACCCGGCGTTCCATATTGTGCAACAGTTAACATCAATGGAGGCGGCTCCTCTTTCGAAACGGTTCGCGTGAGACTTCCGCGAAGCATGCGCCCACGCCTTTGACAGCCTGCAACGCTTAGACGGATGGGGATGGAGAGCGTGCTCTTATCAAATTGAAGCTATCCCTGGGCCTCCTTGAAGAGCTCTCGCGTGGGACTTCCGAAGAGGATCCGTCCACGAGCTAGACATCTTGCAACGCTTGGACTGATGGAAGGCATGTGCTTTTCAAGATGGGGCTACCCTGGGCGTCCTCTTGGTGGAGGGAGGACCCTTTACAACAGGCGCGCTCGTCTGACTGTCGGACCGACCGGCCACTCTTCGTTCAAGTGGGGCACCCACCGTGGAAAGGAAGACTTGCATTGACTCATGAGGAGGGGGCCTGGGACGGGAGCGTGTCTTGCAGTATCGGTCGACGCATCTTGGGCTCACTCTGGTCCTCTTCCTTCTCCTTCTCTCGGCTACACGCAAAAGTGACCCCTGGTACGAGTGACCTTTGGTGCGCGGCTTTTGGGCGCCGCGGGGGGGACCAAAGACAGGCGCGCAGGCCGCTGCTGTCGCATCGCGCTCGGCGATCGGGGAACCCCATTGGGCCCGCACCAAATGTCACTCCGGCGAAAGGTCACTCTTACGTCTAGTCGATTCTCCTCCTTCCTCTTGCGCAGCCGTTGGGCCGCCGCTGCAGCCGCCGCCGCTGCGGCCGCTCTCGGGGACGGACGCGGGGGGGGGGGGAGAGCACGCACCGGCGGTGAGCCGAGGGAGGAAGGGGGAGGAGGAGGAGGAGGAGGAGGAGGAGGAGGAGGAGGAGGAGGAGGAGGAGGAGGAGGAGGAGGAGGAGGAGGAGGAGGAGGAGGAGGAGGAGGAGGAAGGAAGCCGGCCTCCTCAGTAGGCGGCGGGGCTTCTCAGGGGCTCTCCGGCCTTCTGGGAAGCCCTCCTGTGGCTTCGGAGAATGTGCAGGAAACTTCCCAGACGGCCGGAGGCCTTCTGGGGTGCGCCCGCTGCCTTCTCGCTGGAACTAGGCCAGACGAAGGAGGAACTGCAGAAGCATGAACTCTCGAAGGTCCGCGCGGATCTCTTGGATCGGCGCTGGACCCTCTCTGGCGCGCGGAGCGCGCCGGGGGCGGCGCCAATGGGGGTCCAGCGCAGATCCAAGGCGTCCGGTTTTCTTCTACGAGCACAGGGCCGCCGTCTGCCTCGTCGCCACCGCCCGTCGCCCGCCGCCGCCGGTCGTCCGTGGTCGCCGCCGTCGGCGTCGTAGGCATCGCCGTTCGTCGTCGTTTGCTGTCCGCCGTGACCTGTCGCCTGTCGCCGCTGTCGCCGCCTGTCGCCGTGGTCGAATCAGGTGCGTGCAACCGGTCTTCCTGGCCCCTCCCGGCGCCGGGAGCGACCACGCATCGAGGAGCACGCTGGGCGGTGGGGCCGAGACCGGCTGCAGGCAACATATCTCGCCTGCCCTGTACCAGTCCCCCCCCCCTCGTCCGCCTCAATGCTCCTGGACGATCTCTGCGATGGGGCATGGCACAGTCTGCGCCCGAGAGTTTTTTCCTAGATTTCGGCCTCAGCGGGCGCTTTGTGGGTCCTAGATGAAATCGACCCGGGATGAGATCTGCAGACTTGTTTTCAACATACTTTTATTAATTAGAGGAAAAAGAGAGCAGGATGAGGAGATCGAGGCTTTCAAACTTTTTCGGTCGTTTGGGCCTGCACGGCCCCTGGAGACGGGACATGAGGGGAAGGGAGGGATCCTCTACAGCGGGGCGCTTCGACCAAATACTACAAGTGAAAACAAATAATTGTCGTGTTGGGAGGAAGGGGTTGGGAAGATACACTGCGCGAGTGTGCAATAAACACCTTCAACATACACGACAATACGCGTGATCTGCTCATTTTTCCCAACCCCGATAGTTGTGCCTCTGGAGAGGTAAATCCAGCCGTGGCCGCAAACAGCTCCCCGGAGGCCCCTTACAGGCGTAAAACTCCTCCGAGCCTCCACCCTCGAACCCCGGGGGGGAGGAGCCGCGGGGACCTCCTCTGGTTCTCAGCGGCCTCGAGGCCGCCGCCGCCGCCGCCACGGTCGCAGGCCCCCGCCGCCGCCGTCTGGGCGGGGGCACGCGGCAGGCTGTCAGCGTTCGTGAAGGGTGTGGCGAACGCCTCAGGACGAGGACGTGGTGCTGAGGGGGCCAAGAGCGGCACGAACATAACATGCTCCGAAGATCCACGCGACCTCTTTGGGCCGGCGCTTCCTCCTCCGCGGCGCGCGGAGCGCGCTGGAGGCGGCGCGCCGCCAAGGGTGCGGAGGAGTGGGGGCCTCCAGCGCTGACCTAAGACATCCACGACGGACCTCCGGAAGTCGCATCCTCACGCTGCGCTCTGTGTTCGAATGCCGGGGGGGCTTGGTTCATGTAGTATCTCGCCCCGCTCTGCGCTCTCACTGCTTCCGTTCCCGTTCTGCGCTGTCCTTCAGGCTGCACTCGGCCATCTCCGTGATCACATACATGACCCCGTCGGACACGTCTGGGCCCGGCTGGCCACACGAATCCTTCGAATAACGTCCCTCCTCTCATCCAGTCAACCCTCCTTTCCTCCTCCTGGCCCTTTTTTTACTCCTTCTATTCCCCCTCTCGCTCCATGTTCTTCCTCCTCCTGTTCCTCCCCTCGCTCCTGCTCCCGCTGCTCCTCCTGCTCCTCCTCCTCCTCCTCCTGTTGCTCTTCTTCTCCTCCTCCTCCTCCTCCTCCTCCTCCTCCTCTTCCTCCTCCTACGCCCTCCTCCTCCGACGCCCTCCCCCTCCTGCTTCCCGTGCCCCTCCGCTTCCCCTCCCACTTCCCTCCTAGCTCCTCCCTCTTCCCTGTTCTCTCCTCCTCCCTCCTCCTCCTCCTCTTCCTCCTCCGTTTTTTTTTTTTTCCAAGCTGTGGCGTTCTTGAAGATGATGTGCATGGCAGAAAAATGCACATGTCCGACTTGGCGAAAGAAGCCTGCCGGGCGCCGCGGCGACGGTAACAGGCAGAGAGACGGAACATATGATAGTAGTGGTGTAAAGTAGGCGCCCGCCACGGGTAGAACGTGTCGGGCTGCATACATTAGTAGCACCACCACCGTCACAATATCTGCCCCGAATCCGAAATTTTAGTGTTGACGGCCACCACGAAGGGTGCGTGAAAGGAAATGTGAGGCGCAGTGCATCAAGGAGGCACGGAAGAAAACAATGGCATGTGGGCTGCCAAAAGTACGACAACCAAGCACCTTAGCGCAATAGGTAAGGGCTGGCCTGTAAGGCTGGCCTCGACATGGCAAAGCTGCTTTGCCTGGGTTGATGGTATCGCGTCCTCCACTTCCACCCCAATGCCCACACTCCCCATATGTACATACAGGCAAGCAGCAACAATCATCAAATGTTGGCTAGTTCAAACTGTCGCAATTTTTCGGTTGTTGCCCGGGGTTTGGGTTTACCCCGAACTACCTAGATCCCAGGACCAACGTGCCTTTGTGTGTGTGTTCTTTTCGGTTAAGCACGAACCCATAATAACAATGACTGTGGTATTAAGGCTGGCCTGTAGCATGGAGTCTCGCCGTCAAGTGGGGCCCGTCCTGCCTTGTGGGCCAGAGGGTCCCGAAAGGAAGGACATGGGAGGATGAAGAATGGAAAAAGGAAAAAGTGAGGAAGTAAGGGAGCGGGTCTGAATCACCCTCTCAGCTTTGGTCGACGCCAAGCGGTACCAACTTCGTGTGTAAAGCATGTTAGCTGTTGGTAGCGGCTGGCTGGTACAGACTGGCGCTGGTAAATGCGCGCAGGAGTGTAACTACATCATGTCTCCAGCCGCTGCCTGACCTTCACCCACAAATGGTGCCCTGACCTCCGCGCGCAGGATTGTAAATCAAATGTCCCACGTGGCAGCCTGAGAATCCACCACCTCCTCCTCTCCTCGAATACTAGGACCCACCCTCCCAACTTTGGTCGAAGTCAAACGGCACCAGCCTCGCAAGTAAAACATATTAGCTGCTGGTGGCAGCTGGCTGGTACAGACTGGCGCAGATAAATGCGCGCAGGAGTGTACATCAAATGTCTTCAGTCGCTGACTGAGAGCCCTCCCCCCCGCCCCCGCCCCGCCCCCCCGCGCCCCGCCCCACCTCGCCCCGCCCCCTTCCCGCCCCCAACCCACCCCACCCCCGCAAAGGCACCCGGACAGACAAATGGTACCAACTTCTCAAGTAAATCATGCTTGCCGCTGGAATCATCTGGCTGGCACAGACTGGCGCAAATAAATGCTCGCGCCGCTGGCCGGCAGGCTGGCGCAAGAACTGGCTGGCCTGGCGTTGATGTAATGTTCCAGCTTCGTAAGCAACCCGCGCTAGCTGCTGGTAGCATCTGGCTAGAACAGACTGGCGTAAGTGCACGCGGGAGCGTAAATCACATGTCTTCAGTATCTGCCTGAGAGAGGGCAAGCTGAGTATTGCGTAACGTGCTGCAGATCAGCAAACGCTGGGAAGTGAGGTCTCGATGTGACCTTGTGGCGTGAAGGGCGATGTATAACGGAACCAGAGGGGAGAAGGATGGGCAAACGTCAAAATACTGCGACTGTACTCGTAGATGGTATAACATTGCGGACACGATGGGAGGAGGTCAATCACTGAAGTTCTACGGTAGTCGACGATAAGGCAGAGCTCGCGTTGAAGGTCGCGGCAATCTCTGCCCTGTGCCCGTCCGAATCGTCGTGTGCGTCATAGCTGTGCGTAGTCGTGTGATTGTCACGTGGTGTTGCTGCCGTCGGCTGGGTTGGTATGTTGGTGTTTGGGTTTCGATGGTGCTCTGGAGATGAATGGGTACGGCTTGCTCGGTGAAGCTAGGTATGCCGTGTTGGAAATTGCGAGTGTGGGTGTCGGTGAGGTGCTGCTCGCACTGTGCTTGGTGTGCGCGTACGATGGCGCTGTACTCGTGGACTCGAGGGTCACCGATGTCCTGCGCGACGATGCGTCCGCGGCTGCTGATCTCGCTGTGCTGTGCGAAGATGGTATGTATCAGAATGCCTGTAGGTGCCTTGGTTGGAAGGTATATCTGTCTGGTAGCGTAGGTCTGTGGCGCAAGATGGTGCGTTGGTATGGTTTGAATCCACTGTTGTGTCCTAACACCTTCGATGGGTGGGCAAACAATGGGGATCCTGAGTCGGTGGCGGTGGGCGCACGGGCGTGGTGAGTCGTGGTGTGGGTGACTATGTGGTGAGGGTTTTTGTGGGAGGTGCTTCTGGTGTGGTTGCGATCGTGCCGCTGATTGTGGTGTGCGTTGTTGACCTCTGAGGTGGTGGTTTTGCAGCAGTTGGCGTGGGGCGCTGAAGTGGTGGCTTTTTGGCAGGTGGAATTTGCGTGGGTGGCGGGGGGGTTGGTCCTGTGTCGTTTCTGTCGTTCGTCGAATGCTTGGCGATCGGAATGTCATCGCCTTGAGCTGGTGGTAGGCGTCGGCTGCGTGGGTCTGGCGGTGCTGGGAAACGTCGTCGGGTTGCAGATCTTGTGTAAGAGCGCCGTCTTTTCGTTGATGTTGACCGCCCAGCCGTACTTTATATTAACGTGGTCGTCGTGGCATGTGTGGGGCCATTGTGCGACTTCCTGGATGGTCATGAGTTTGTTGTGATTCAGTGGGGCAGGGCTGCCAATAAGCAGTGAGGGGAAGTGCTGGTTGGTGGTGGTTACTGCAAACCTGAATGCTGCGTTGTTGCGATAATGGCTGGCAAATGCTGGCATGTCCTTGCCGTATCGGGACCGTGGTTAGTCGCGCGTGGGTTTATGGCGTGGTAGGAACGCGTCGATGTGTATAGCGTCCTTGAGTTTGAAATACATGGTTGTACAAGTGCATCGTAACTGGGATGTCGAGAATAAGGTTGCTTGTGAGTCGGGTCGTAATGGAGGGTGCGGGAGGTATTGCTGTGGGTTTCGGTGTATGAAAAGCTCGTTATTCAACTAATCCAGATCCCTGTGCCCTCTTGGTAATACTAGGTCGTCTTCTGGGAGCCGGTACCTGTAGGTCTTGGTGGTTTCGTGGTAATAGATTGCGTAATGACATCGGTCGTTCTCGTGGCCGTCGGTGTTTGTGTCACTGGCGTGGTGGGAGTAGGCAGTTCAGCCACTGGGGCGGTACATGTCGTGTCCTTTATGTAGATGTAGCAATGTAAGACAGAACTCCTGCGTGTCGGCTGCGCCGTCAAGTTTGGCACAAGGGTTGTTTCCGTCTGCGCTGCCGTCGGAGTCAGTTGTGTCGTAGACTAGGTCAAGTGGGTTGTCTTGGGCGTGTTCATCTGAATTGTGGGGAAGTGGCGGTTGTGGCTGCTGTTGTGGCGCTGTCTGTGTCGGTGGCGTGGGTATCTGTGCTTTGGGCGGTGGTGTGTATTTGTAGGTGGCGTCGGGAGGCGGTCTGTCTTGGTTTGTTCGCTCGGGCCTAAATACTATGTTCAGTATGCGCTGCTGTGGTGGAATGATAAGTCTGTGGCCTGTACAAGTCAGTCGCGCTTTGTCGTCGTGCTCGTGCTGCGTTTTCCCTGCTATGCGTAGTTGCGCAGGCTCGCCTTGAACAAAATTGTAGTGTGGATGGTCGTGTGGTACGTTCGTGGGTATGATGACTACGTCTCTGGTCTTGAGGTTCCTCGGAGGTCTAACTTGGATTTGTGGACCGCTGGGGTGGGGTAGTTCTGGCGTAGGTTGTGGACGGGTGAAATTGGAGTTGCGTACTTGTTGGGTAAGGTGCGTGTTCGGGTGTATTAGTAGCTGGTGTTGGGGCTAAGTGGCATAACATACGTGGCCACTTGGGGCTGGTAGCTGTTGGCGAGGTCAGCTCGTAGTGCGTGGGTGGCGTGGGTCTTTTGGGTGGGACGTGGTCGGGGCTTTCGCGTACCAAGTCGCCCAATCGTCCAACAATTCGCAGTCGTAGTCGGTCGCGTCGTGGAACTCTGTGTAATCAGGTTGGTCGTGCGTGGATGGTGGCGTGATGTGTCTGCGCTGCTTATCCAGAATGCATGTGGCCCAAGGTGGGTGTAGTGTTGATGTGCCTGATGTGTGTAGTGCGTCTGCGAAGTAATTTGTTAGTGGCCGTAGCTAAGACCCTGTTGCAGTGTTGTGTTGCGGGTCGGTCATTGAGCTGAGGAGCGTGGTCCTGTTCTTCCTGGTGAACTTGGTGCGTATGCCGTAGCCTTCGTCGATCTGGAACTCGCATCGTTTGTCGTGCTGCTGGTGGAAGATCTTGTATAGGGTATCCTTGAGGCTTCTTTCTGTGCCATCTAGGTTGTAGTGTGTGAGTACCGTAGCCTGACCATGTTGTTGTCGATGTCGTGGTTCAGGTCTTCCCATGTCGTGTGGACCAGTGGGCGTCGCCGTACTTCGTGGTCCGTAAATTCGTCATCCTCGAATGGCCGTTGATCCTTGCGGTAGTCGGCCCATCTGTAGCCCAGGATGTTGGCTGGTCTTTGTGACCAGTGTGTTACGATGCTGGTCTGGGATGAATATGTTCTCCACTTCTGTAGTGTTTGCTGAAGCCGTTGCTGCAGGAGCGTGAAGTACTATGTATTGATGTCGGGCAAGTAGGCGTATGGGATGTGTGTCTGTCTTGTTGTGCGTGCCCACCTTTTGGACGTGGGTACTGGTACGTACTCAGAACCATATGTCGGGAACTATATATACGCAGTACTTGTCGATCCTTGCGTCGGTCGTGTCGTCCTGCCTGTGCGGTTGTAGTCGCGCTCGTAGTGTTTGTGCAGACTCTGGGTCTTCTTGTATGGGGGTGGGAGAGCTTAGTAGCTCTTGTTGGTTCTTCTTGCGTCACGTCTTGAATAATGGTGGGAATTCGTCGTTACCGCCGTCTTCATATTGTTCGGTAGCAAGTCGGTATCCTCCTCCTCCTCCTCCTCCTCCTCCTCCTCCTCCCCCTCCAACTTTTCCTCACCCTTCCCCACTGCGAGCGCCGCATCCGACTAACGTCAGACGCGAGCGACATGTGGTCGGAGCGCTGAGCGGAGCGCCCGACGAACGATGGGGGCGGGCGAGGCTACGCGCGCCCGCCTCCGGGCGGCGCACGTCGGCGGGCTGCGCCTTTTCTCGCCCTGTGCGCCGCACGGATCCACGAGCTCCTGCGCCTCCGAGCGGCCCTGAGGGGCCCCCGAGCGGTGCTCCACACGGAGGAACGAGCGGCGGCGAGCGAGGGGGGGGGGGGGGGATGTGAGAAGGGGCGGACCTTCTCGGACGGCTCCGAAAGTCCCCCGGCCGCCTGTGGCAGTCTCCTGAGCCCTCCGCTGGCGGCGAGCGAGGGGGGGGGGGGAAAGGGAGAAAGAGAAGGCGGCGAGCGAGGGGAAGGAGGCGGAGAAGGAGAAGGTGGAGAAGGCGGCGAGCGAGCGAGCGAGGGAGAAGGAGAAGGCGGCGAGCAGGGGGGGGGGGGAAAGGGAGAAGGAGAAGGCGGCGAGCGAGGGGGGGGGGGGAAGGGAGAAGGAGAAGGCCTCCTCAGAAGGCGGCGGGACTTCTCAGAGGCCTTCGCGCCTTCCGAACAGTTTTCTGCGTCTTCGGGGAAGGCTCAGGAAACTGCTCAGAAGGCAGGGGGACTTCCGAACCTTCTGAGAAGGCCCGCCCCTTCTCACTTCCCCCCTGGGCGCGCCGCCTACTCAGGATTCCATGACAATTTCCTCAACGCTCCTGAAGACCCCCCTCGCAACCTTACGGATCTCAAGGGGCTTCTGGACTTCCTGCATGTTTCCGCAACACTCCTCGGAAATCGTAAACGGGTCTTATGCGGAATCAGATTTCTTACTGCATCGCAAAAGGCTTCCATCAAGAATCCAACGGGTGTCCTCAGGAATCTGCAGATCTCTTCAGGAATCCTCAAGAGTTCCAAAAATGGATACGAAGAACTGTCTCGAGAACGCCAAAAAATTCCAGAGGAAGTCCGATTTGATCCCGAGGATTTCCTCGGGGACCCTGATGATATCCCAGCAATCCTGAGGGTTCCACTTGAGATCTGGAGGAAATCCAGCGGAATGACATGGGAGCTCCTCAGGAATCCTGAGGCATGCCCAAGGTGACCTTCGGACCTCCTACGGCATCCAGGTGATTTCCTCAGAGATTCCGAGAATTTCCGGACGAATCCCAATCCTCAGGATTTCATCGTGCACTTTTCGCGGTGGATGCCTCCCTCCAATGCCTCGACAAGGACCTCCCAGATGGGGTCGGAGTAGATCGGGTCGGAGGATCGCGCCGCATCGGCGATGCATCGGCGATACATCGAAGATGCGTCGTCGACGTCTTCGGTACATCGCCGCCTTCGGCGTGGAGAAAATCGGGCTCCACATCGGGCCGCATTGGAGATGCATCGGCAGTGTGGCGCGATCCTTTGACCCCATCTTCTCGGACCTCATCTGGGAGGCCTGGGCTCGAAGCGCCACCCAGTCGCGGAACGAGACCACGGCAGATGCGGCGCATGACGCCTCCCCCCGTTTGCAGGCGGCCGTGTGGGGGCAGAGGCGAAAGAGGACCCCCCCCAGTGGGCGCAGAGGCGAGGAAGTTGCTGGGTGGGCTTGGATCTGAACAGCGCGAGCGCGCATCAGAGCGCTGTCCCCCCACAGTCCTGGCGAGGGGGTGGGATGCGTGCGCGCGCTCTCTCGTGAACGCGCCCCTTCGCCTTCTCCTCCTCCGCACCTTTTTGGACGTTGCGCAATTTTAGTGGTGCAGCCTGGAGCGTTAATGGATGAGAGAAGAAAGACGTATCGAATGCCGGTTTAGGCCGATGGCAAGCTGGCTAAGCCTGGCCGATGGCAAACTAATTGCTCAATCTCTCCTCCTCCTTCTCCTCCTCATGTTCCTCGTCCTCGTCCCCCTCCTCCTCCGCCTCCCTCAGCGAAGGCTCCTTCGAGTAGTCGAGGAGCTGCATGAACAGCCTCTGCGAACCTGCCAGCGCCAGCTGTTCACTCCACAGGCTTTTGTCGGCGGGCTTCTCCAGTGGAGCCATGAGCTCCTCAAGAGGGCGAGGATGATGATGATGAGGAGGAGGAGGAGGAGGAGGACAGCGAAGAGGAGGTGGACGAGGAGAAGGAGGACCACTGTAAACCCAAGAGTCATTAACGAAGTTGGTATACACTCTCCCTCCAAGCTCCCTCTTCATGAACCCTATGCAAAAGTTCATTTCCATTGAAGGAACTGCCTCGTTGGAAGACAGCGGCGGACGACACTGAAGCATGCCAAGACATTGTTCCCGGGATTCCAACGCCACGGATGAACCTGACTGTTGCGTTGTGACGATCCTGAATCGTGCCAGAACGCCATTCTTGGGACTTCAACGCCGCGAATCATCGTAGCTGTTGCGCCCGATAGTCCTGAATCCTTCCAACACCCCATTTCTAATACGTTGGCCATGGGCATCCGTGAAACTCTTGCAAACTTTATGAGCGAATGTGCGCGGCGCTGAGACGAGAACCACATTTTGAAAACGGGTCGCCCTCAATTTTTTTTGGGTGATTTTTTACAACGAATGTGCGCGGCGCTAAGGCGAGAACCACATTTTGAAAACGGGTCGCTCTCAATCCGTGAACCTCTGACAATTTCTTAGAACGAATGCGCGCGGTGCTAAGGCGAGAACTACATTTTGAAAACGGGTCGCCCTCAATCCGTGAACCTCTTACAACTTAAAAAACGAATGTGCGCGGCGCCACGACGAGAGCCACATTTTGAAAACGACCCGCCTTCCATCTGTGAAACGGTTGCCAACTTTAAGCTTCAGAATCAGAAATGGTGAGGAAGTCTCAGGCGAAACGCCCGACCCGTCCTAAAAACTTGCCTCGGGGTGCGACAGGGAGAAGTTATTTAGAAGGGATGCGAATTCAGGAGGCGGGGGGAGGATCATGGGGGTATGATCGATGCCCCCCGAATCTCTGGCGCTGAAGTCTTTGCACGCACCACCCCCAAAACCGCTTTCTTGCCCTGGATGGTCCTGGGACCTGAGTGCGAAGCTGTGGAAAGCATGCCGACGCTTTCTTTTGCGACGCTGGAGCTCTGGGCCCCGTGATGTTACCCTCTATCGTCATCTCCCAAGGGTCGCGGAAAGGAGAGGCACTAGCTCTGGTTTGGGGGAGGGGGCGACATCGACCTGGAATCAACGATACGCCGCCGATAGATCTGCGATAGGCCCCGGAAACGACACCGTACGCTCCTGGGCAGGGTGGGGATACCGAACCTTTGACCGGCGAGGAAATGGACGGTCGGGGCAGACGGCGGCCCGACTTTTTCGGGACATGCCCCCCCCGAGACCTCTGGACCGTTCCCCGGGGGCCAGTTTCTCATACCGCACTGCTTTCTGATATCGGTGCGCCACAGAGCAGGGCCAGGAAGAGGAGGGTGCGCATCATGGCCCGAGGCTTGTGCGCGGACGAGTGGGGGGGGCTAGGGGAAGTGCTGAACGAAAAGGAAAACGAATAGTAAGCGCATTTCGAAGAGTAAGAGCACGAATGATGGTTGTAATCGTATCGGTAAGAAATGTTAGATGGGGAATCATAATGATACGGATCAGGATAATACGAATCACAATCATAACCAACAAGCATAACAATTGAGATACGAATGCGAGTACGAATAACAACCACACAAACAATCGTATCAATACTGATGACACAATAATGATGATCATAGAACGAAAGAAAGAAAATAAACAGACGAGTGTGACAAGGAGGGGGCGGCATGACACTTGGGCAGTACCATGCCCCCCCACCCCCATGATATCCACCCCCCACTCTTGAACGCCCCCGATTCTGATGGTCCTGGGTCCCGAAGCTAGCCTCCGGGACATCAAGCACTGTGAAAAACTGGCCGCCACGACTCTGCCTGGGCCGCTGGGTCTGGGACTTCTGGCCCCGCCCGCTGGCACTGGGCCGGCCCAAACGTGCTGGCCGCAACGCGGGGAGGCTGAGGGGGAGGGGGATGAGGAGTGGAAGGAGGATGGCGCGGGAACAAGGATAAGAGGAATATGATGATGACGACAATCGGGAGGAGGAAGACGAGGAGGAATAACTCACAGAAACGAATCAATTTGACAACAAGATCTCGCTCAAACGATTGGGTGAATGCCTGCGGTTCAGCCTGATGGGGAGAAACAAGCACAGAGGTTCACGCGCTCAGAAAAACGCAGCTGCAGAGGGTGACGCGAGCTAGGCCCACCGACGACAGTGCACGCAAACCCTGAATCTGCACGAAGCGCGAAGGAACGCCGTGGACTCTCACCTGTAGCGCGAGCGCACGCGCAAGTCTTACTGATTTTTCATGCTCGAAAGAGCCGCTGAGCTTCCTAAAACCGAAACTTTAATCGAGCACAATCGGTCACGCTGTGAGGGGGGGCGGGGGGAGGGGAAAAGGGGGGGGGCGACGCAGGGGAAAGCTGTCGCTCCGCTGGCGGCGGCACGGGCCTGGACTATCACGCACAGGGCTCACGACATCTCGAGCTCGTCGATTGCGGCTTGGATCCTGCGCTCGAAGTCGCCTGGAAGGGCAACGCCCTCAAACTTCGCGGCCTTCTCGCGCTCCAGGAGGGGAGCGCGAATGCCTAGGAACAGCTCGTCGCTATCGGTGCCTGCCACTGCGTTGACCTCCAGACGCTTCGCTTTGCTGTCGTACGTCTTGTAGCAGTGAGCGTGCCGAGCCCTCTGCGTTAGGGCATAGAGGTGTCATTTTGTGTCCATGAAGCCGTTCTGCTTTTTGGTGTAGGCGTCGGGATTGGCTGCCCGTGGAGGGTCCAAGTCCTTGGCCAACATGATTCATGCGTTCCATGCGTGAGCGTGAGGGTGGTCGAGGGCGGCGGTCTTCTGTTGCTTCTGCTCCTTCGGGTAAGCCTCTGCCGCCTCCGCATAATTCTCAGTGGAACTCTTCTCAGTGGAACTCTTCTCAATGGCCCTGGGGGCCCTCGGGGACGTAGCAGCGCTGAGGGTCAACTTGGCCATGGGGAGAACGGCCGCCGTAAGGTCGTGCTGGCTGGCGCCTCGGCGCCTGTCTTCCGGGGGCCGCCGCGGGTTGCCCGTCGAGAATCCGAGGTCCACCAGACAGTGCATATTGTTCGCCCGATGCCCTCTCGGAGACCGCGGGGCCAGCGGAGGCAGTTGCAGCGTGGGCGCTTCGTGGAGCTTGCGGCGTCGGAAACATCTGGCGCCTTTGGCCTGGGAGATGCTTTGCGCGGGCGTGACGACGGCGCGAGTTGATGTCGTCAATCTTGCAAGAACCGCCGTTTAAATGACATGTCGCACGCGTGCATGTGTTGTCGGCGATGATGGGAGGGGAGTGGGGTTAACTCTGATCGGCCTTGCATCTGCCATGATGCCAAATTCGTCGTGCATGATAATGCGCGATTTTGCGCGTCGAGAAATGTGTAGACCACCAGGGACATACAGCTTCCAGTACACTCGAGTCTAAAGTGCTTATGCCATGCGTTGGTTGTCCACGCGCGCGACGATGTCAACTATCAGCTGGGCAACGGGGATACGAGTGCGCGCGCGTTGCCATCCGCGCGCGCGAGACCACCGTGGCCCCCCCCGGACGGCAACCAACATGACGACGCTGTAAGGCGACAGATATCCCGATCAGAAGAGGTAGGTGGGGTGTTCACCGAAAGCAACTTCGCTCGCAATCCAGAGATGCAATACCGAGAAAATGTTCTTGCAGCGTGCCCGTCGCAGTCAACTGCCGCGGCAGGGCCCCTTCGCTTCCAACCGCAGAGAGCGAGAGAGGGAGGGAGAGAAAGAGAGAGAGAGAGAGAGAGAGAGAGAAAAAAAGAGAAATAAAGAGAGAAATAGAAAGAGAGAGAGAGAGAGAGAGAGAGAAAGAGAGAGAGAGGGAGAGAGAGAAAGAGAGAAGGAGAAAGGGAGAGAGGGAGAGAGAGAGAGAGAGAGAGAAAAAGAGAAAAGAGAGAGAGAGAGAGAGAGGGAGAGAGAAGGGCTGAATGTCGGACTACTGTTGCGCCAACCACGGATGATCAATCTCGGCGTCGCTGGCGTCGTGGGTGGCGGCGCTTTTTCGATACCGTCTAAGACGTTGAAAACGCAAACTGGTCAGACTGTTGGCATGTCCAATAGCGCGCCATGCTTCTGTGGTAGGGGTGGTGGTGGATTTGACGGCGCAATCGGTGAGATGTCCTGGCGGTAGCCTTGCCTCTCGTGACTTTGCGGGCGCGATGGATGATGTGCTCGTCGAAGGTCGCGCAGTCGCGATCAGTAAGTGCATGCGCAATAGGGCTAAGTAGGAGCGCCGGCCGCGCTGTGCAGAGAAATACAAGAACGCAGAAGCGCATATCATTCTTGGAAAATCAGAATTCATTGGGGCATAGGCCATAGGCCAAGCCTTCGTAGCCGCTTGAAGCCTCAGATTTCGCCCGACGAAGAGGCAGTTTTCGCTACGGGCCCCAGGTAGCGCGCGGCGCTGAATACTTCGCGCTGTTCTTGTTGCGCGCGCGCCGCGCGTTGATGGGCGTGCTAATGTGCGCCCGCGGAGTGCGCAGTGGACTCGCTCTTGCCTCTGTGTTGTGCGATCGTGTAATCGGCGAATACCTTGTTCAGGCGTGCACCGTTTTCCATTTGTGTGGATATAGGCAGGTCGGAGTCGTGATGACGCGCTGTCTGTGTAGATCTTCGAAGAAGGCTGTGATGGGCAGATCAACGATCTCCGAAGGGAGATGCGATGGGGACAGGGGATGGGGATCTCGCGTTTTCATGCCCTATCCCTGCGCAGCTCGCCAGCGCGGGATGTGCAACCCATTGGTGGCGGCAATCTTGCATTGAAAAGTGCCACTCCGAGGATGAAGCTCTGCCTGACTGTCCGATGCTTGTAGCGCAAGTAGCGTGGCGATGGTGCTGTCGTGGGGGCCGTTCATATTGTCCGGCAACGTGTCATGGTTTTGCCAGATGAAGCATGGGCGCGCTACTGGGTTCGTCCATGACGCCGCGCGAGGGGGGTGCGAAGGCGTTGGCCATGTCATGGCGATGA